GAAGTAACTGATGAAACAACTTCCTCATCCCGCTCTTCAGTAACCGGTATCTGAAGACGAAGGCGTGACAGTGCATCAGCAACGACGTTATTAGAACCTTTACAATATTGAACACTGAAATTATAATAAATGAGTTTGGCACACCAACGGGAAATGCGAATGGGGCGGCGGTCTTCGGATCCTGCAGAAAGAAGAGCAACTAGTGCTTGGTGATCTGTACGTAATGTGAAGTGCCGGCCCCACAAGTAAACAAGCCATTTCTCACAGGCAAACAGACACGCGAGAGCTTCACGCTCTCCTACTGAATATCTGCGTTCAGCAGGGGTCAATGTACGAGATGCAAAAGCGATAGTGATCAATCACCTCTGAGTTGTTGAAACACTGCTCCCAGTCCAACATCGGACGCATCCGTCGTGATGACGATGGGAAGCTTCTCGTTGAAAATACTAACAGTTGGCTTTGAGGCCAGTATTGACTTAACTCGAATGAAGCTCTGCTCAGCTTCAGCTGACCAGTTAAAAGGCTGTGCTTGACGAAGTAGAGTACGCAGTGGTTCAACAACATCAGCATAGCGAGGAACAAACTTGGCATAATAACCAATAAGACCTAAAGAAGATTGCAAGGTTTTGGCATCCGTTGGCCGTGGGGCATTGACAATGGCCTGAACTTTAGATTCAACAGGTGTCAAGCCGCGGGAACTGACATTATGTCCTAGAAATTGTAACTCATTCACAGAAAAAATGCACTTGTTATTAAGTTTCATACCACATTCACTGATGCGGTTGAGAACAGTATGCAAGTTAGCATCGTGCTATTCGCAAGTACGCCTCCACACCAAAATGTCATCCAAGTAACAAAGGGCGCCATTACAACCCTTAAGAATAATTGATATAATTTTCTGAAACACTGCAGGGGCAGATGCAAGCCCAAAACACACGCGGTGAAACCGAAACAAACCTTCGTGCGATAAAAATGTGGATAAGTCTCTACTGCACTCAGAAAGTTCAACTTGGTGATAAGCGGACGCGAGGTCCAGCTTGGAGAAACATACCGCTCCGGAGAGCTGATGAAGCAGTTCTTCAATGTGAGGAAGTGGAAACCCGTCTACGAAGATCGCCTTGTTCGGTCCTCGTAAGTCGACGCATAGTCGAAGGAAACCATCTTTTTTTTGACGACGACAACTGGAGAAACCCAGTCGGAAACAGAGACAAGCTCGATGATTCCGCTGGCTTGAAAGGCGAGACAGTTCCGCAGAGACTTGCTCACGGAGATGAGGAATGCGGCGCAGCTTGGCACGCACAAGGCACACACCTAGTCGACGCATCACTTTATGCACAAAACAGCGCACACAACCCAGTTCACGGGTGAACAGGTGGTGGAATTCAGAAGGCGCGTTGGCCGGAAGATCATCTTGGACGTCGACTTGAGCACACGTCTTAGACGCACCGACGATGTTGATGGACAAAGCCCTGATGGCATCACGTCCCAAAAGTGAGCTGCCATTGGCAGTTACATAAAAAGTAATGGAAGCGGTGCGACTGCGCTAGGAGACCTGAGCTGTAAATTGACCTAATTTATCAATCGTTCACTTGGAATATTGTTTGTAGAACGACGTGTGAAGGCAAAAGCCGAATGTTGGAAAAACGACTATGAAAGTCAGCGGCACTGATTAAAGAGACTGAGGCACCAGTGTCCACGAGAAATGACAAGGGCACATGGCCCACTGAAGCTACGATGCTGGGCTCTGACGTAGTGTGGAGGCCATCCACATTAAAAACAGTGACCGTACTGGTTTGTGCAGTGCTCGAAGGATCGGACGAAGAAACTGGTTCCGGAAGATTTGCTGGACGAGAATTGCATACGGACTGAAAATGTCCGATTTTTCCGCACGCAAGACAAATGCGGTTTCTCGCGGGACACTGCGCAAAATTGGCCAAATGCCGAGCCGATCCGCAACGAAAGCAATGCGCGGTTGCGCTTGGAGAAGAAAATTGCGAGCGCGAGTTATGAGCTTGGTGCTGTTCCTGAAAACCAGAATTTGCGGAATGGGGTCGCCATATTGCCGGCTTCCTCGCCCCCGCAACGCAGAGAGACCGCCATGTTGACGCGTCCCGTGAAACAAAGAGCCGCCGCCTTGGCCCCCGCAGCAGAAAGTTGCTGCACTGAATGCGAAGCGAATTGCTCCAACTAGGAGCGAATAAGCTCGTCCTCTCGCGCAATCGAGAGGGCTTCGGATAATGAAATGGAGGAGCCCTTTTGAAGCATGCGGCAGCGGACGTTTTGCGAGGCTACCCCGGTGAAAAGCTGATGGCGGATCAAATCGTCCTCGAGTGCGCCGAAGCCGCACGACGCGGCGAGCGTTCGAAGAGAAGTAATGAACTCGGCGACTGGCTCATCAGGCAATTGTCGCCTTTCTTGGAATTTTACGCGTGCGAGATAATCGCACGAAACATCTTTAAAATGCTCATCGAAAAGAGCAACAGCATTCTTGAAAGCATCGCCCAACTGTGGCGTCGGCGACGCGTTGGTGGCGTCCAAAGTATAGAAGAGCTTTAACCCGGCAGGGCCCAACGCGTTGAGCAGCAGGGCCTCGCGACGCTCGGGCTTGCTGGCGTCTTCCCCGGCCGCGTCTTCGTAGGCTTGAAACACCAATTTCCAGTCCGCCCACGGAAGTGGCGGGTCTCCGGGCGAATGAAGAAATAGGGGAGGTGGAATAGGAGACGCCATTCCAAGCAAGAAGAATTGAGAGGTGCAGACGAGAAAAAATGATGCCAGTACACTGTTTGAAGAAGACGACAGAGGCGGCGTAGCTGAATGAATAAGGAATGAAGCGACGCAGCACGCAGTAGCCACCTTGCTGGGAACAAAGAGCGTCTAGGGTTATCAAGGTAGGTCCGTTACAAGCAAAAAAAAAACAAAGACGAACACGGAGAACAAAATGGGTGTTTACAGGTCCTCGTCGCCATTGCTGTGTTGGGGGCTGGCTAGTCCCGACGAAGCAGAAGGAGAAGACGGCCGACGGAGACGTACGCGGCCGGCGGGGACGCCGACCAGCCCGAACACGCGGTAAACGCAAAGCGCCGAAGAAAGGAACAACAACCGCGCTCCACGGTTACCCAACACACACTCGTTTTATTTTACAGTCGCCTTGAAATCCAGCGGCGCCCCCTGGCATCCTCACATGTCATTTCGAAACCGAAACCGAGAACCCAGAACACAACAGTCATCATCTCGATGACGTAATGGAAGCGGCGGCATCCAGTCTGGCGAGTCTTACGCAATGCGTGGCAACATCACTCATTCTCGGGTGCAACCCTGCGCAGCGGCTCCGTATTTGAGGATCATGACGCAACCCAGCGGCAGTTCCTGACTGGAGGAATGTGACATCACGACCAGGGGCGCTTCTCATTAGACGTTGGTGACGTAAAGGTCCACCCGGTGTCTATAAAAAGCCAAGCGGCGCATTGGCAGTAGCTGACTTATGCGTCATAGAGAAGCCCATCTATGCGTCAGAGAAGACATCTCGTTGCTTCGAGTCCCTAAGCTGTCGGCCCCAGTGCCGAATATTTACCGCCTCTATTTCTATGCTGTATATAAACCTTGCCTTAACACACCATCGTCTGGTCCACTCGTCTATCGGATCTGCTCAGAGCTGAGAAATACACGTTACCAAACAGCCAGTGACATTGGCAGCGGCGAGTATCGGAGCAGTGGCGCCTTCGGGACCGTGTTGGCGTCACGCCTTCGTAATAATACGGATTTTACGGCAGAAAGTTTGGTGCCGCTGATTTTATATGTGAATAAACTTCGTCGGGGCATGTCAGGAGTCTGTTGGTGTCCGCGCGCCGGCAAGTATTGTCTCTCTTCTCTCACTTCCTCTCCCATAGCAACAGCTGCGGGCACGCACGTTTATCATCGCCCCTAGAAACAGGACCAGGTAGTGCGGGTGGAGTAGCCGGTGTACTAGAGCTTGGCGGAGCTCACGCGTGCGCAGAGCAAGTGTAAGAGAGGGTAGGTGAAGTGCTTCCCCACTCATCTCACTGTTCACTGTCTCTCCTCCCTGCACCCCACTCTCCCGTCCACTCGCTCGTACGTATAAAAAATGGAGTCAAGCGTGAGCCTCACTGTCGACCATCTCCTATCTGATGAATGTGTAAAGAAATAGTTAGTGTACAAACCGATCCTCGTCATTAATTTGCGCCATTAAAATTACTACGTCACATACTTGTGATGCAAAAATGCATTTGCATTTCTTCACGATTGCCTTTGGGGAGGTGGGGGCAATTTTTTTTCGTTTCGGTAGTTCTAGACCCTTAGCTTTCTAAATGTGCAGATGCACTCCAGCTCGCAAAGTGTAATCTCATCATATGGTTATGATGCTTGAACTGCAAGGAATTCCTGACTACGTAAGCATGGGGGCATCGCAGGCCGCTGCATAAGTTTGAAAATTTGTTTTTAGAGAGAAATTTTTTCTGAGACGAACAATTGACTGAGTCTGGCTTAGAAAAGGCTGCAGAGTTTCAATAATGCAAAAAGAAAAGAAAGTTTTTTCCATAATGTTTGCTTACCTTGTCCCCTTAACCATGTTTGCAAGCACGATAACTTCGTCCAAAAATTTCTAATACATGCTAAAGAAAGACAAACACTCATTGCCATCGCAACATTTTGTACTTCACACGAACATGGAAATACTTTCGAAACAGGAATGAGAAAAAGCATCCATTGATACTTTAAAATACTGCACACGTGTAGACGGCGTAATGTTATGAGGTAACGCGCCTCTACTCGAGTGGCACCAGCACCCCCATCGACTTGAAACAGACTCCTCCTGGCAGAATCAAACTAAGCCGACATCATCTATTGTCCAGTGACGTTTTGCGGGAGATACGTCATTCTGCAGGAGAGACGCCTTTCTGGTGGAGAGGGATGCCCGTCTGCAGGAAAGAGACGCACGTCTGCGGGAGAAAGACGGCACGTCTAGCCCTTCTCGGTGGCGTCCATCAACTCTTGCTTTCTGGAGCTCCTTCAGTGGGCGAAGCTATGGACGACTTTGCTCCGCTGAGAACATCTTCACCCGACGCAACCACTTCCGTAGCCCCAGATTCAACCGAAGTCTGCGCGTGTGGTCCAGCCTCGACTTTGTCGTTAGACTCAGCCTTCGCTTGATGCTTGGCCTGGTCTTTAGCCTGAGCTTTGAGTTTAGGCTTGGGTGACCCCTTAGCGGCCACTACGCTTGGCGACAGGGGCTCAGAGTCTCTGCGCTTCGGCCGTTTCTTTTGTTCGCCTCGCGTTGTTGTTGGCTCTTTCTGGTGCTTCTTCGGCGACTGCAGCATCGCGTCAGCAGGCTTGAGCATGTAAACAACGTTCGACGGTCCACAACTGCGCACGTCGCCCTGGCCCTGCAATAGAATGCCTTCGAGGCTTACGCCTCGTGTGTCGGGCAGCAGCTTAAAGGCGGTCATGCCACCCGTGAACGTGACGAGGCCCGACAGGACCACCAGCAGCGCCAGCGATCCGGTATTGGTGCCCAGGATGGTGAACAGGCTGATGACGCCGAGCGCCGAGGCCCAATGAAAAGCGCAGACGCTTCCGAACTCAAAGCCGTTCTTCCGTAGCGGAGCCAGCTCGACGGCGAGAGTCCATGATGCCGGACCAAGGCCGAGAGAGAAACCGATGCTGAAGATCACCTGCGATCGTCCGCACGCACGTATGCCTCAATTCATGGGAGAAGTAACGTTGAGTTCTTTGTCTTTATCTAAATTATCAGGCCTCTGGCTGCAGTTATTGACAGTAAGAAATGCCAGTGTTACGCGAATACGCTTGCATATTCGATTACCTTGAGGGACACAGAAGTGTATGCAGCTCTAAAGTTCACTCCATGATCGAAATTTCTCCCGGTAAGCCTTCAACTTACGTCCTTGATAGTCGCGATGCTACTGTACACTACAGCGGTACCTGATCATATGCAAACAAAATATTGAGTAATGACAAGCGGAGGGCAGCATGAAGCAGCTGTGAGTTTTATCGATGGCTCGAGGGCGCACGTGCATTCTATAGTCAATTTTCGCATGCCTGAACGATGGAATGCGTTTAAAAATATCTAATATCAGCGCTGTTCCCTTTGTCTCGACCCCGTATCGAGAACGTACCTCACCTCAACTTTTTGTGTGGACATGAGAAAGTCATTATTGGTGCTGCGCTATTGGTTAAGCGCGCACTGCGTGTGAGTGACGATCGGCTGCAATTTTTTAGTAGCACGGTGTTAGTTTCTACTCAAGCGGTGACGCTATGGTAATCTCTGTGGAGTGAAGAAAGAATCTCGAGCGAAACTTTTCTAGAAGATGCGGAGGGGAGGGAGTAAGAAGAGAGTGGTAGCGACTGCAGCTCACCTTGCAGACTACGGTGAGACGAGTGGCGAGGTGCGTGTCCATGGCCTGTTCGTCGTGCGAGACGCTGAAGTAAACGCCACCCAGGGCCACCATGCTGCCTGTGCTAATGACCACGGACACGGCCAGAGGTTTCACGCGTCCCACGGCGTCCAGAAGGTGAGCAGTTATGGCTGTCATCGCGAACTGCGACCAGAGTCAAGAGAGAGAGAGAGAGAGAAAGAGAGCGAGAGGGATTCGAGAAGAAGGATATAAAAAAACATGCAGAGCTTAAGGACGATTCGTTTTGAGCAGAATATCTGTTTGCAAGAACATTTTTCAGCAGAAGTTTCAGTATGCTGTTAGTTCCCGCACACGCCGCGAATTATGATTGTTTAGCATCGCACGAGAGAAATCCCTCATCGGCACTACCTTGGAAATCAAGATCCAGTGCCCATATCTACGTGGAGGCCAGTAAATGGTTGTGCGGCGCGAGCAGTTAGTTTTCTCAGCAAGAAACTCGTAAGACGACGCGGTCTGCTCGAGCTTCGCGAGGCAAGAGAGTGTGAGGGATAAGGTTCGGCCAATCACGGCAACTTAAATAATCGTTGTCGAGACTGACGAAGACATTTGCAACTTGAGTTATAAGGCTTTAATGCCACGAAAAAAAAGAAAAAAAAAACGATAAAGAAGCTTGGCGTGTTACATGGCAACAGCGAAGAACTGCCTTAAGTACGAGCACGACACACGTTCTCGAAAGACAAGGTCTGACGCTTAGCGTAGTCCCCCACTGCACTACACAAGGTTTGAAACACTTCACCGTGTGACGTCGAAGGCAGATGAGTCGATGCGTTGCTTCTTACGCCGACATCAGCGATGCCTCAGGCATGGTCGGAGCGGAGCGTAAGGCAGAGTCGATGTGTGGCAAGCACGTCCCGGACAGCCAGTAGTAGGCCCAGGTCTGGAAAACGCCCGGATCCGAGTACAACGGACCGGCGCCGGCTGCTGGATCACACGGTAGAAGGGAGCCAGGCTCGTGCGGACCACAGGCACAGGTAGGCTTCGGGACCACGACCCGACGAGCGCTTCAGCCTGCCACTGTTTCGTTCCGATCCTTCTTCTCGAACGCCCCGTCGTCGTCTTCCTCTTCTCTCTCTTCATGGCTTGGCTTGACTTTGACGACACGATTCCGCCTTTTCCTTGTCTCATCGTCATCTTCGTCGGCGTAAGGCACAGCACAAACTCACAAACATCGCGCACCAGATGAACCTACCGCGCATATCATGACAAAAGTCCCCCCTTTCAAAAGTTTTTTTTTCTTTTTAAAAAAAAAACTGTCCAAAGTGCGCGGGAGACAAGACTTACGACAAACAAATGTACAGAACTGTTGCACCAAGAGAATAGTCTGTATGTGAGAGTCCCTAGGCATATGGTACATTATTACATTAATGTGGTATAGCTAGCACCTACACCTGTAGCCTGCTCATATAATCAGCACCTACGTTCTCTGATCCTTTGATATGCTCAACGCGAAAGGTGTACTCTTGCAATGCGAGACTTCAGCGCAAGATCCGGCTGTTCAAATGCTTGGCTTGAGAGAGGTATCGTAGCGGTTGATGGTCAGTCTGAACGACGAAGGAGGTTCCATAAAGGAAGATATGAAATTTCGCGATCGCCCAAACTAACGCTAAACACTCTCTTTCAATTGCAGAGTATCTCTCTTCCCGGGGCATAAGTTGGCGGCTGGCATATGACACCGGGTGAAGAAGACCCTCGTGTTCCTGCATAAGCACAGCGCCTATACACCTATCATGTGCATCTGTACGTAATACGAAGGGTTTCTTTATGTCAACAGCCTTGACTACTGGCGTAGATGCTAGAGCTTGTTTGAGGGTTTCAAATGCCTCTTCTCTTTCGGTATTCCACGCTAACTTGTTCTTTTCCATCTTTCTTGTCATTTCAGTCAGTGGTTTCGCTTTCTGGGCATAGTGAGGTATGAGGTCTCGGTAATATCCCGCCAAGCCGAGAAAAGAGCGAAGTTGCTTCTTCGTTTCCGGTCTTGGGTCTTTAGCGATCTTCGCTATCGTGCTTTCTACTGGGCGGATTGTACCATCGCCGAGGTGATGCCCAAGGAAGATGACAGAAGTCATTCCGATCTCACATTTTTGAGGTTTGATCCGTAGGCCTGCTTCTCGGATCCTCTGAAACAACTGTTTCAATGTCACTAGATGCTCCTCCCACGTAGCTGTGGCAATTAGAACATCGTCTATGTAATGCACTGTGTTTGGAATGCCGTGCAGTAATGTCCTCATCAATCGTGTGAATATGGCCGAGGCTGTCTTAATCCCAAAAGGCATATAGAGAAAATGGTAGTGTCCAGATTGCGTTGAAAAAGCTGTTTTCGGACGAGAACTTTCCTCTAAGGGTACTTGCCAATAGCCCTTTGTAAGATCTAACTTTGAGAAAACCGACTTCGTGCCGACTTCAGCAAACATAATGTCAGTTCTGGGTATGGGTTCAGAATCGGACACCAGAACCTCATTAATGTGACGGAAGTCAATGCACGCGCGAAAGCTGTTGTCCGGTTTCTTAACCAGGACCAAGGGTGAGTTATACGGCGAATGGGATCGTTCATTAACTCCCAACTTCAGCATATCTTGAACCTCCTTCTCTACTATTTCCTTCATTGCAAACGGCAACGGATACTGTGACGTGCTGATTGGTTTTGTTGTAGTAAGCTCTAGCCGGCACTCTAGGAGGTTCGTCTTCCCAGGAACTTCGGAAAATATGTCTCGGAATTCCTCCAAGAGATTGCACATATCATCGCGTTGTGCTTCGTATAAATTACTTCCGAGTGTGACCGACTCAATACCTTTCCCTTCATTTACTTTAAATGTAGGGAGGGGTGAATCCGACTCTCCTTCTTCGACTACAACGAACGATGAAGCTTGACTAGTGACTTCTGGTTGACGTTCTTCGTAGCGCTTGAGCATGTTTATGTGAAACATTTTCGTGGTGTGCCCAAGGTCCAACCAATAGTCGTGGTCATTCTTTTTTCCTGTAACCGGAAATGGCCCCTTCCAGTGCATAAGAAGCTTGTTTTCCCTGGTTGGGAGCAATATAAGAGCCCGGTCACCAACTTTGAGCTGTCGGGTTTTGGAGGTTCGGTCATAATACTTCTTTTGCGAGTGTTGAGCTCGGGAGAGATTCTCTTGAGCCAGCTTCAAGGTGCGTTCAAGACGTTCTCTCAGATCAAGCACGTATCCGTAAGTAGTCTTGATATCTTCCTCTAGGTCTTCCCCTGTCCAGAGTTCCTTCAATATATCCAGGGGTCCTCGGACGTGCCGGCCGTAGATCAGTTCAAACGGCGAGAAGCCCATACTGGCCTGAGGTACTTCTCGATAGGCGAATAACAGAGGCGCAAGAAATCGGTCCCATGACTTCGGCTTCTCTTGGCACAACCTGCGCAACATCTGTTTCAAAGTGCCGTTGAACCTTTCGACCAAGCCATTGCATATCGGGTGGTAAGGCGTCGAGCTCAAATGTCGAATAGCAAGCAGAGCATTCACCTCTTCCATCAGGCCTGACGTGAAGCAAGATGCTTGATCACAGAGGATCTCCCGTGGAAATCCTATTCGAGAGAACATCTCCAGTAGTCCATCTGCTACTGTTGCCGAATCAATTGCGGGCAAAGCCACCGCGTCCGGGTACCGAGTGGCGAAATCCACAAGGGTAAGAATGTACCGATTACCCTTCTTTGAAATCGGCGTCAGAGGTCCAATGATATCAACGGCCACACGTTCGAATGGCGTGTCAATCAAAGGCATTCGTCCAAGAGGCGCCTTGCCTACTTTGCCTTTGGGATATGTCCTTTGGCATGCGTCGCATGATTTTACGAATCTTCGTACCTCCTCCTGTACACCGGGCCAATAAAACGACTCCAAAACTCGGTCCTTCGTCTTCTTGATACCCTGGTGACCAGATATCGGTGATTCATGTGCCAAGTGCAACACATGGACACGCAACGCCTTTGGAACCACCGCTTGTTGAACTGATTTACCCGGAGTCAAGTGGTAAACGCGGTACAAGATTCCTTTCTCGAACATAAATGAGTGGTATGTGGCTCCTTTACCGCGGATGAGGGTGTCGACTTTCGCCCTACAAACATCCAGCGACCGGTCTTCCTCTTGTTTTTGGCGAAATGACTCCTGTGTCACCTCTAAGTTTCCAAATTTAGCAGTCGTGAGCTTCCGGCGATGTCCTTTGCTTGAAACACCAACCATGACTGTGCTCTTCGTCCCGCATCCATCCTTGGATTTCTCTTCAGAATTCAATGCCTGATTAGTTTCCGACTTCAGGCTCGCTGACTCCTTCCACGTTGAGTCGGGGTCATTAGCGTCACGGGCGCCGGGAACATTTCCTACGATGACATCGTAAAGTGGCGACGTCATGCATTTGACTATCGCATTTCCGGTGAAATAGGGCGATAGAATCCGTACTTCTGCTTCCGGTACCTCGATGCAACTACCATCGGCCAATAAAATAGTGGCGGTAGTACCCGTCAGCGCATCATCGGGAACGAGGGAACGTCGCACGACCAGGGTGTTGCTTCCAGTATCCCTCAAGACTGATACAGTATGTCCAAACACTTCTCCCTGTAACACCGGCAAGTTTCGTGTAGCTGTTGCGGTGCGCGTTCGGAGTGCACTAGCAACATATTCATCTTGTGATGAATCATCGGCACATCGGGGCGTCTCGGACTTCTGGTCAGTAGACACGAGGCAAGATGTCATTTTCTTTGACCCGCCGTTGCTTGGGCATGCTCTTGCATCGTGGCCGGGCTTCCGACAGTGCCCACAGAAGACTCGTTGGGGTTTCGTGCGGCAATCAGATGCTCTGTGGCCAGGTCTATCACAGACGAAACATCTAAGAGGAGGCTGGGTATAAGTAAATCCTTCTTGCTCCTTGGGAATGTTGTTTGCAGACTTGGTACGAAATACAAACAAGTTTGTTTGGCGCTGGGCTTCCAAGAAGGTATCAGCTGCTTCTGCCATTTCTTTTACCGTCCTGCATTTCTTCTCCCTTAGAAAAAGTGCCAGGCGATCGTGGCAGTTATTCAGAAACTGCTCAGCTACAATGAGGTTGCGCACGGATGCAAAGTCCTCGTCCGTTTCCGGCATTTCCAGCCATCTATCGAAGTAACTCTG